TGTTGGATGGCTGGATGGAAAATGCATAAATACCGAGCTTAAGGGGTGAGCAGGCCTGGGCTTACAGGCCGTGGGACCTTGGCTAACTCCCTTGACCTGCCTCTGCCTAAGGTCTACTGTCTGACTGGTGGTTACTCTTCCTAGGTTGAGATCCAAAGCTGGGAAAAGCAGAGAGAGGGTCAGTTTGGCTTGCATCCTAGCCATAGCTATGGGAATGTTTGCTAGTAATGCACACGGAGTCATCACTGTGCATTTGGGAGACGGGGTGGGGAAGGGTGGAGGGGAGGGAGCCTGCATGGGGCAGCATCCAGTTGTTTTATTCATGATTCTAACAAGTTTGTTGGTTGCTTTTGAGAGGTCCCAAGGAGATGCTTTAGAGGTCATGTTCTCTGCCACTTCTTTGAAATTGAAAGAATTCAATTCTTGTCTGCATTTTTACACATGAGGGTTATGGCTGTGTGAACAGGATGAAAGTGATCGTAGATGAGATGAGCAGAGAAAGCCACCATAAATGAGAGGCTCATTTCCAGAGGTGGCTTAAGGAAATTTGCCCTCCTACTTGATAATCACACCACAGAGAAATTGTGTGCCCGTTGGTACAGAGTTAATTATCAATAAAAGATATTTCATATCCTGTTATTCAGGTTGGTTCTGGTGGCACACTGGCCCCAGGGCACTCATTTAGATTCATGGGTTTTCCCGCCTACATAATGAAACTCGTTATCCTTCCATCTATTTATCTGCTCATTATTCTTTCTGTCGCCCCCACAGCCTCTTTCTCTTGCCCTGTGACATCTGAGCTCCTATCATCTGTTTGGGGTTAGCAGCATTTCGGATTGTCCCACAGAGGCACTGGGGGGCCTGGACAAAGCCTGCTGGGATGAGCAGCGTCCTGGAGCTGTGTCTGCCCCCAGCCCCTGAGTCTGTCTCTCAGCTCCCTTTATCTAGATGATCAGGGCAAGCCTCACGAGCTGATGTGGTGAGTAGCACAGCACCAGGGAAGAGGCAGTCTGCAGCCTGGGGTCTGCTCCTCCAGGCCCCTTCCCAGCCTTCCTCCCAGAGTGCAGCTCTGCCCATCAGCCCTGGTGAGGTCAACCTGACCAGGCCTTCCAAGACCCAAGACGTAACCTGAGCCAGCTTGCTGACTCATCTGCCGTGTTTGGCTGTGCTTCACAGGTTCCCCTCCATGCAGCCAGCTTCATCAGCCTTTCAGACCCAGCTGGGGGTCTCCTCTGGGAGGCCTGTCTTGGATGCCCCTCACCCCAGACTGGTTTGGTAACCCTCAGTGCTCCACATGAGGAGTCAATGAGATATTTCATCAAAAGCATGGAGCGCAGTGTCTGGCTCAGTTCAGCAGGGATTTTTGGATGACCTGTCCTCTGTCAGTCAGCAGGGGATATAAATGTGAAAGAGGCACAGCCCCAGCCCTTGGATGGCAGGGTGACAAACCGGGATCCTGCTTTACATGTACTGTGGTGTGATGAGGGCAGCAGGAACTGAGTAGGCTCACGAAGGGGGATATGGGAACTGCCTGGGGATTCGGGATGGGCTTCCTGGAGGAGGTGACCCCTAGGATCAGTTACAGCATTGGCCGAATTTGGGGAGCAGAGGGTGAGGGTAGAATTGCAAGCAAACAGAGGAGCAGGGATAAGAAACATCCTGTGGGGCGGAGCAGCTCAGAACAGTGAGAATCAAGTTGGGGTCAGGGGTCAAGATGGAGCTGGGGAGACTTCTCCTCACAGCTTCTATGCATCAGGACCTGTTCGAATGCCTAGTATTGGGAGGGCGCCTTGCGGATTGATGCTATGTGCTAGAGACTCAGGGAGGCACAAATAGTACAGGGCGATCTCACACTCTGAACTAGTGGACAAGGTTGACGGGCCCAGATGCCAGAGGAAACAGCAGATAAAATCTTTCTAGATGAAAAGTCTTATTCTGATCTTTGTCTGTGGTTTTCAAACCACTGCTTCCTTGAGTCATGGGTGAGTCATTTGCACCCAGCCATCATGGTTCCCAAGTGGCAGCCACAGCAAGCTTCCCCCTGGGTGCTTACAGATGAACTAGCAAATTCTAGGCCCTCTAGGACACCCATGGCCCTCAACTGGGCCACTCCATTTCTGTGTCACTCATTACCCTGTCTCCTTAACTGCTTCTATCCCTGGCCCAGACTCCAAGGGAGCGTGCCCACAGGCATGGCCAAGGGGCCAGGACTTGGCAGATTTCATAAAAGAACAGAGTCAAGGACTGCAGGCTGCCACCAGCCAGAGGGCCAGGTCACTAAGAGACCGCCTTAGCACTTTTCTATATTTCTGCGCTCTTGAGCTAATACCCCTGCAGCGAATTCCCTCTGAACCCCTGGGCTGTGTGTGAGCCGCCCCAGCACCTTCCAGCTACTGGAAAGAAAGCGGCCCTAGGAGCAACCAAGGTCTGATGCTGGGTGGGCGAATCACCAGTTCTGTATCTCTGTGATTGTTGTTTTGGTAACACAAGTGATGAAGGAAAATATGCTCATTGTAAAAAAGAAAAACACACCTGGACAAGATTAAAATATAGGAATATATATTTCCATACATATAGAATACATTAATATGTGCTTACTATAAATATATATACAGTCATGCACCACATGACTTCCATCAACAAAGAACACACATATGACGATGGTGCCCTATTATAATACCGTATTTTTACTGCACTTTATGTTGAGATATGTTTAGATACATGAGTACTTACCATTGTGTTACAACTGCCTACAATATTCAGTGTGGTAACATGCTGTTCAGGTTTGCAGCCTAGAAGCAGCAGGCTGTACCACGTAGCCTGGGCGTGTCGTAAGCTCTACCATCCAGGTTTGTGTAAGTGCGCTCTGTGGTCTTTACACTATGACAGAATTGCCTAAGGACCATTTCTCAGTGCATCCCCATTGTTAAGCAACTCGTGACTGTCCGTATATGTGTGTGCAAATATATCAAACAAGTGAAAATGCTTCTTGACACCCCATTCCGTCCTTCCCCAGGGGAAACCACTGCTGTGTTACGATGGGTAAACTTAGAGACATTTTTTCTATGCACTTACATAATAAACAAATGCCTGCATAGTTATACATGTATAGGTTTTTTTTTTCTTTACGCAAAGAGGATTGTATCAGTATCGAGTGGCTTGATTTATTCACTTCACTTAATTTATCTTTGATTCTTTTCCCTTCTTTTTAACTGGGGTAGAACAATCTTCAGTACGGACATAACATTCTGTTCTGCTAGAGATGGATATTTAGGTTATTTCCCTGTTTTGTTATTACAAACAGCACCGCAGGGAATCTCTGTGGCCAGATATCTTTGTGCGTGGACATTGCTATCTTTATAGATATAGAATGGATTCCAAGGCATAGAATAATGAGATCAGGGGTAGTACACATGCCCCATTTTGACGGCTCCTGCCAAACACTCCTGAAAGTGTTTAGGTTCCACCCTAACCTGCAATGCTTGGAAGCGTCAGGTTTCTCACACCCTTGCCAATAGTGAGTGTTATCATTAAAACATGATTTTCCAGTTTGATGAGGAAAAATTATTAATATATCCCACTGTTTGATTCATATTTCCTTATGAAAAATATCACATGGTTGTTTTATATTTAATTATAAATAAACTTAAGCATCTCTTCATGTGTTTATTGGCCATTGGTATTTATTTTTCTGTAATTAGTCTGTTCGTATCCTGTAATGATTTTTCAGGTGTAGGGGCTCTTATGTACTTTGAATATTAATCATTTGTCTGTTAGGTTAGTTGCAAATATTTTTCTCTCAGTGTGTTGCTTGTCTTTTATCTTTGTTTATGGCATCTGTTTGCCAAAGGGAAGTTTTAAATATTTATGTAGAAGAATTTGTAGAAGTAATTAGGGAATTTACATTGATTTACACTGGCGGTTGGTCCCTGTTTTAACTATTGTTCGTGTGTATGTATAGATATTATGGTGATTAACAAACCTTTTAGAAGTTAAATAGATCTACAAGTACACTTATTTTCATGTATTTCCCTCAATGTCTGGATGCTGAAAGTAGGACAATTACTGTGTATCAAGTTCTAGAGAATCTGTGATGCTGCAAAGACATTCCCTAGGCATGGAGAGATTAGGGACCACTGAGACAGAAGCTGTCCATGGGGGATAGACATGTGGGCAGCCCCACATTTCCATTCTTACAGGTCAGCATCCAAAAGAAAAAGAGCACCTCTTCTAGTGTCTATACATCACCTCTCTCAAAGAAAGGGAGTCTGCTTGCCCCATTACTATCCTTACTGACTCTGGTTATGTGTCCACCCCTGCCAGGGGGCGAGGATGCTGTGATTGACAGTCCATCCTGACCACACGTGGTGGGGAAGGATCAGCTCACTAATGGAGTGAGGGTGCTAGATGGACAAGCACACAGATTGCAGGACCCACACGTGACACCCTGAAGACAGTGGTGGGGAAGCCGAAGTCAAGGAGTGAGCATGAGACAGGCTTTCAACCAGCACACACGCCTTGGGCCTTGGCTTTCTTCTGTAAAGTGCTCTCATGGGTTAAATGAGCAACTCTGAAGGCCCACAAAGCATAAAGCAGATGATGATAGATGGAGCATGTCACACACCCACATCTGGCACCTGGCAGGTCCTCCAAGAGGAATGATGGTTTTCCTCCTGTTGCTGTCCCTGGAATTAAAGGGCATTAGGAAGAGGTAATCAGGTCCTAAGAAGTCAGTGTGTGAGTTCTTCCACGAACTGCCCTGAGTGAGGCCCCTTCTTCTGGGAGGCCTCCCTGGTGTTGAGTAGATGGTAAGGAGAGGGTAGTGGCAGTGAGGAAGAGGCAGGACACAGTGGGGCTCAGGAAGCACTTCTCAAATGGGAAGCTGCCCCACGGAAGTACAAGAGCAGCTCCTCAAAGTGAAATCCAGCCCCACGCTGGGCCGTGCAGCTGGCCTGGCACCCCAGCAACTGTGCGCCATGACCTGCCTTGCTTCGTTTCAGTCCATCTGATCCCGGTGTCAGCAGCTAAGAATGGAGTGAGTAGCAAGAGTCGAAAGAGAATCCTGCCTGACCCTGCGACGGAGCCCCCTGTGACAGACCCCATTTACGAAGCCCTTCTGTACTGCAACATCCCCAGTGTGGCCGAACACAGCATGGAAGGTAGGCCTGGCTGTGCCACGAGGACAGACACCGCTTTGGGGACTAGTTCTTTCAGCAGCATTGCAGAGATGGCTAGGACCCACGGCCTGCAGTTGCCACCAGGCTGTGCCCTGGAATGAGCTCCTGGGTCCCTGCATTCTCATCTAAAAAATGGGAGTAACTCGCAGGCCTTATGCCTGGGACTGAGGAGGATTCAGTAATTGCTCTGAACATACCACGTGGCTCACGATCAGCCCACCACAAATGTTTGCCATGATCATGATCTCTAGTGAGACGGCAGTAAGGTAGAAAGGTGGCCTTGGCAGGCCTAGCGCAGCACATTGAGACACTCTGCTTTTCAGGGAAGCCTCTTGGGACTTAGGATGTCCACAGGATGTCCTGCTGGCATCATTCCACGGAAGTGAGGCAATTTCTACAAGTTTTGCTTTTCTAAAAGCATATCCGAGCATAGTGTTGAATCCTTATTGACCTCTTTATGCCCTCTCTTGTCTCATGAAAGATTTAAAGGAGAAGTCATCGTTTCTAGTATTTCCGTGGATCTCTCCCTGGTCTGTGCATGTGAGTGAGGCCACATTAGTAGTCATACCTGCATTTCCCTGGCCTCCCATTGTTTCCGGGAGGCCTGGGACATAGCCAGCCTACTCACGTTCCTCTGTCCCACCTTATAAGACTATTCAGTGGCCCCTGCCTGGCATGGCAGCCAGGCCCCCTTCACTGCTCTGCCTCCTCTCAGTGGCCCCTGCTATCTCCTGCTCAGATTCCCAGCACAGGCATGGCCAGGTTATCTCCTCGGCCCCCTTCTAAAAGGATTGACGCCTATTGGGTGATAACCAGACAATGTGCTTCTCTCTGTCTCACAGGTCATGCCCCGCATCATTTTAAGCTGGTCTCAGTGCATGTGTTCATTCGCCACGGAGACAGGTACCCACTGTATGTCATTCCCAAAACAAAGCGGCCAGAAATTGACTGCACTCTGGTGGCTAACAGGTAAATTGCACTTTTTCTAAAAGTCAGTTCCAAGTATCTGTTAGATCCTGTAGGATGGAGAATGATGGGACAGGGGAGTGACCTACACTTGGTGAAGCATACTGTTGGCAGGAGCCTGAGCTCAGAGCAGTCCTGCATGTGAGTGTCATTGTACAGTTGAAAAGATGGAGGCCCATAGAGGTGGGGACACCTGTTTCCAGCAACACAGCAGATATACTGAGCCCAGGTCAGTCTGAGGCTTACCCTCAGACTGATGCTTTTCACTTTGAGAAACAGTTGGGACACAGTGCAGAGAGCACTGAGTCAAGAGTCCTCCGCCCCAGCTCACCAGCTCCATTCAGAGCAGCAGACAAGTCCCTCAGTGTCCTCCGAGCCTCAGCCTCCTCCCTCCGCAACGGAGATCATGAGTCTCCCCATGCAGGCTTGGGGCAAGGCGTAAGTGAGATGACACAGGCAGTGCACGTTAGTGATTGCAGAGCCATATATGTGTAAGAATTATTTCACCCTTTTAATTCTTCACAGGAGTAGAGACAGCCTGTTCTGCGTTGAAAGCCCTTAGGATGAAAAATAATTGAACAGAGAGTGGAAATAGTATGGAAATGGCATGGCCCTACAGTTAGAGGCATAGTTAGCAATAAAATGTTGGGCTAGACCTCAGCAAATGTGTCTGAAGGCACATAACATCCTAGCAGCATTGACCTAATGAGGTCAGGAGACGAAGGAAGTGCTCAGTGGGGAAGATGTTATTTTGATGGAATGCTTCTGGGGTGCCAGCCTGCCCCAGGAAGGGCCAGCCTGGTGGAGCTGTGGATTGCCTCACTGCAGCCAGGGCTATTCTTTAAAAGAGGCACTTTGCAGCTCATCTTGCAGGGCTCCTCATTCTGTCACGTGATGGCAGGATGGGGCCATTTTTGGCACTCCCTTTTGAGAGGCTCAGTTCCTAGGGACCAGTTGGCCTGGCTGCCTCTGCCCTCATTTTCCTTTGCCTAGTTCTATTTCATTGAACATTCTGTATTTCTAGAAGTGACCTTAAATCCTTTGTGTAAAGAGGGTGGAGTATGCATATTTTGTTACTTAATACTATTTAATTAATTTAATCTTTAAAAACAGTAGCAGTTGACTTGTCATTACAAGCAGGTACTTAGAGTAAGAGTAAGCAGGAACGCCAGTGAAGGGGACCCTTTCTGGGCTGCTGATTCCCCCAGGACTGTGGGATCTGGGTCACCAGCAATGCCTGCTGTCTTCCCAGGTGCTACTTCAGCTTTAAAAATTAGTAATGTTGTGACCTCTTAAAAGGTAGTGTGTCCTGGAGTGTGCCCATTATTCTAGTCTAGTGAAACAGAGTGCTGGGGCCAGCAGGCAGTGTGCAGTGAGCTGAACTAAGCAGGAGCTGTTTGTCCGCAGGTTCGTTGCCCCAGGTTTCCCACCCACGATGACATACCCTGTGACCCTCAAAGCCTTTGTAGTAGAAGCTGCCTCTTTCTGAATGTCATGTGCTTTATGAGAAAGGTGTTATTTTAACCCTCATAGTATTACGTTTAGCCAGTATTAAGGTTATTAGGTATTTATATGTCGTATTTAGTAAATGCTTTTTTTAAATTCATAAATATGAATTAAATATGCTTTTCTACATCCAAGGAAGAGAAAACATTCACTTCGATCAGCACTTATTGCACAGATTTTAGTTTTATGCTTCTATCATGTGCCAGGCTCCAGACGGTACCACACGAGCAGACACCTACATGAAGTGAAGGGGCCAGCTCTGTGATGATCTGGGGACAGAGTGTTCCTGATAGAGTAAACAGCAAGTGCAGGGAGCCTGAGGCTGGAAGAGCTGGGCGGGTGTGAGCCGCAATAAGACCAGGGTATGGCTGGGCTGGAGCAGTGAGGGAGGGAGTGGGCTTCTGAAAGGCCCTCCTCAGGGCCACCCCTGCCCTCAGGGAGCCCAGCACCTCTACAGAGACAGGCCTGGTGCCCAGGACACAGCAGCCCTCAGAGAATGGTAGCTGGCACAGGTGGCAGCAGTGGTGGCAGCATTAGAGAAAGAAGAGGAAGAAATGGAAGAAGAGCAAGACGCAGAGATGCAAGTAGTTTGGGTGCCATATTTGGGGGCATAAGTCAGAAGAGGGGCAGCCTGACACAGCCTGGGGCACAGGTGGCAGATCAGGGAAGGCCATGCAGAGAAAGGGACCCAAAGGGTGTGTAGGAGCAAGTCGGGCAGCAGCTGGTGCCAAACGGCCCCTCGGGCGGTGAAACCAGCCTACGCAGTGTGAGGTGGCGGACAGCTTGGCACGTTGGGGCCCTCAAAGTTAGTTCACAGGCTGGAGCACAGAGTGGAAAACTGGGTGGGAACTAGGTGATCTGAGGCGTCGAATACCCAGCCAGGGAGTGTGGACTCCAGGCATGAAGGCAGCGAGAGAGCCAGGGAGTGAAAGGGATGTAAAGATGAAGGTCTCTGACAGCTGTTGTGTGGACAATGGATTGGAAGCCGGTGGCAGCTAGTGGTGGTATTATTAGGATAGTGATCCAGAGGAGGGACTTCACTTGGAATCAGAATCCACGTCCTTATAATGCCCCACAAGACCTGAGTGCCCTTCCTCCAACCCTTACCTGCCTCACTCACCTTCTGCCTCCTCATGTTCACTCACTCTGCTTCAGCCACGATGCTCCTAGCTCTTCCTTCCATGCTCGGGCACTGTGCTGCCTCAGGGCCTTTGCACGACTGGTTTCTGTCTCTGGAAGCTTGTTCCCACAGATAGCTTTATGGCCAGTCCTCTTACCTCCTTTAAGTCTTTGCTCAAATGTCACTTTCTTAATAAGACCTACTCAGAACATTCCAGTTAAAATGACCAGGTGTTCCTCCTTCCACCTTGGTCTCCCACAGCCCCCTCAGCCTAATCTTCTCTTTGCCATAGCATCTGTTACTTTCTAACCCAGAAACACACACACACACACACACACACACACACACATACACACACACATTTATAGTGTTCATTGTGTACTGCCTGCTTCCCCAGGCTAGAATATAACCTCCCTGAGGGCAGAGACTTTTGTTTTTATTGACTGCTGCTGCATCCCAAGTGCCTAGGACAGTGACTGGCATATAGTGGTGAGGTATGATTAAATGTTTGTTGAATGACTAAATGAGAACGGCTGGAATTCAGAAAGTGGCAGCAGAGATGGAGAGAGTGGGTAGGTCTTGGAGACGGTTACAAGGTGGGATCAACAGGACTTGGTGGTCTGTTGGTCAGGGGTAAAAAAGACAGGCAGGATGGGGCCCAGGTTTCTCACTGGTGTCTGGCTAGTGGTGGTGCCCCTGCCTAGAATAGAGAACACAGAAGAAAGGAGGTGGGGGGGAGGTTAGTACAGGCATTGGTGCTACATTTGAGCCATCATGAAACATTCAAGAGACAGTTTCTAGTCAGTAGTAGGCTGTATAATTTTTTTTTTTTTTTTTGAGACAGAGTCTCACTCTGTCACCCAGGCTGGAGTGCAGTGGCACGATCTCAGCCCACTGCAACCTCCACCTCCCCAGTTCAAGCAATTCTCGTGCCTCAGCCTCCTGAGTAGCTGGGACTAGATGTGCGCACCACCATGCCCAGCTAGTGTTTGTGTGTGTGTGTGTGTGTGTGTGTGTGTGTGTGTGTTTAGTACAAATGGGGTTTCACCATGTTGGCCAGGATGGTCTTGATCTCTTGACCTCGTGATCCACCCACCTCTGCCTCCCAAAGTGCTGGCATTACAGGTGGAGCCACCATGCCCAGCCTAGATTATATAATGTGGCTCAGGAGCACTGACTTACTGGGGGAAAGAGAGGTTTAATTGAGAATCTTCAGCATGTTGATGGCATTTGAAGCTGAGGGCTTATATTACAGGCAGAACCTGAGGAGTGAGGGATGGGCCAAAACCAGAGTCCTGGGAAACACCAGCATGTGGTACTTAGAGAGAAAAAGGCTCTCAGGAGGGTCTGGGGATGTTGCAAACAAGGAAGGAGTCAGGAGAGCGACGGTATGAGAGCTGAGGAGAGCAGGGCCATGAATCACATCAAGTAAGGCCAAAAGGCTCAGAAAGCTAAAGACTAAGAAAAGTACATTGGCCTTATCTTTTCATCATTTCATGTTATTAATATGTAAAATGATAAATTCTGTATTTGGTCTGAATTTTAAAAATCTAGTGTGACTCCAATTTCCAGCTGTGTATGCTTTTTTGGATTGTGTTTTCTGGAAACAGTGTCGCTGGTCTTCTGTCTCCTCTCCTTGCCTTAACATTCTGTGCAGAACTCAGTAATTGCTGAGATTTTAAATAAATCACAGTAAATTTTCTCATGGTGTATAGATTAGCCATGGGGTTCTGTCTCAAGCATTGTGGCATAAATAGATGTGAATATGCATATATAAGTGAAAATAAGTACTCCAAAGTGAATAACTTGAAGGCTTAAGACAGTAGAATGTTTTATTCTTTCAGTTTTCATTATGGAAGCAGATTTTCAATGAGCCCACAGTAATATGAGCTTTTCTTGAAGAAAAATTCATTTTCATGGATATAATTATGTCTACATTAGTCAGGGTACACCTATTTTGTAAGTTTATTTTGTAGCAAAAAGACTTATGAATGCATTACCTTAAATAACAAAGAAGTTTAACTCTTCCTCATGTGAATGTCTGAAATGTGTGTTTCAGATCATGCTAGTCAGCTCCACCTGGTCATTCAGGGCCCCAGGTTGTTGCTTCTACCATCCCCCAGGGATGGCTACATGGCTGAACCCTGGTTGCTGCCATGCCTAAATACTGGTAGGAAGGAAGGAAGAGAAAGTGAAGCGGGTACCCTCATGATCAGAAAGCCTAAACCTAGAAGTAGCATACATGTTTCCATTCCATTGGCTAATGTGGCTTTACCTCATTTCAGGACCTCAGAAATGGGATCTAACCAAGTCCCTAAGAAGAGAATAGATTTTAGTGTGCAACTAGTACGCTAGTCTCATCCACGGTAGCCTTTAGTTTTAATACAGTCGTCCCTTGGTGTCCACAGAGGATTGGTTCCAGGATACTCCTTGGATACCAGAATCTGAGATGCTCAAGTCTCTTATGTAAAATGGTGTTGTATTTACATAGAACCTGCGCACATTCTCTCATGTTCTTTACATCATCTCTGGATTACTTATAATACCAAATACAGTGTAAATGCTATGTAAATAGTTGTCATACTGTATTTTTTATTTGCATTGTTTTAATTTTTTTATTGGATTTTTTTCAAATATTTTTGGATCCCCAGTTGAATCTTCCCATGCAGAATCCGAAGAGATGGAGGGCTGACTATGTTTTCATCAAAATCCGAATATTTTAACAAACAGTATGGGAACTTACCATATTCATTGCTATAGATTATGGAAGGCTTGCTATTTTCATGAAACATCCAAGGATGGGACACTTCCCAGTTGAATTCACTCACACATATTTTTTGGAACATCTGCTGTGTGCTAAGCACACTCTGGGCTCCAGGGATGGAGCCGTGGACCAGGCAGACAGGACCTGGGTAGTCAGATCCAGGTCCGGGTCTCGAGTTACCTGGTACTCTTTTCACTAAAACAATAGAGCCGTTTGTTGTCAAATCTTTTTTTGTTTGTTTGTTTTATTTGTTTTTTGTGACACGGTCTCTCTTTGTCACCTAGGCTTCAGTGCAGTGGTACGATCACAGCTCACTGCAGCCTCAACGTTCCGGACTCAAGCAGTCCTCCTGCTTTAGCCCCCTGAGCAGCTGGGACTATAGGCCCATGCCTTGGCCTCCCAAAATGCTGGGATTACAGGCATAAGCCACCATTCCTGGCCTGTTAGCTATTCTTTAAATGGAGTTTTTCTTCCATGAATCTTCATCTTTGCATACCAAGAAAAAAAAAGTTGTAATGAATACAGTTAGATAGTGTCATTAAGCAGTCAGATGCCCTGAAAACCTGGGCTGTCTCTTCAAACACTTCCAGTCATGAAATTCCATTTCTAAAATTGGCAGCAAAGCTTTCTCAAAAAAATCTCCAACCTGAAATAATGGCCTGGAACAGAACATTTGACTCCTGTTGATGGAGAGCCTTTGTTCACGTGGATTCCTCTTGGCAGCCCCATTGTCAGGCTGGACGTTTGATTTCCCAGTTTGCAAGCATTTATGTGCCTTAGCCTCAGGCAAAATAACATACCCTGTTTTCATGGAAAGGCATAACTCCCTGTAGCCATCCAGGGTGATTTATTAGACTATACTGCATATCTGGGTTAGCATTCATTAATTTAAAAACATATTTTTTAAAAGATTTTCTTTTTTTTTTTTTTTTAGCTTTATGTTGTTGATAGATAATAAACCCATTTTGGCAGCCATTTTTAAAGCACTCCAAAGTTAATTGGGCCTTCAGGCAGCAGGGATTTGTCATTAGAAAGGTTTATCTTTGCTTCTTTCATGCTGATTCTTATAGACTTTAGTCATGAACTACTCTATCTGTCTACTTCTCTTCAGCTGGAAAATATGTATGCATTCATAGGCTATTTCATTATTCAAACAAAAGATGTTTATATTTCATAGGTCATTTCATTATTCACGGTAATTGTATATTAGTGACTTGAAAGACTTAACACATATACTTTGTGGCAGAAATAGAGATACTCTCAGATGTCATATATAAACTTTTTGACATTTATTACTACCCTGTGTTAAATGAGAGGTTGCATGTCCAAAATACAGAGTGAATTGTAAAGGGGTAGAGATCCTGATTATCCTACTCAGTTAACAGTTTTCCTAAAGGGAGATTTTTCAGAGGTCAGAAAAATTAAGGATTATGGGTTACCTCAGTAAAGGACAGGGTAGATTTTCTAGGAGGAAGGGATAGCTTGTGGAAAGTGGTGGATGTGTTGAAGAATGAGGAGCATTGTGTGTTGGAAAAAAGATTGGCTCGGTGTGACCCAGAGCACAGTATTAGGGTAGAGAGGGCCAGGGAGTACTGAGGTGGGTCAGAACGGAGTGACAGGCTGTGTGTGCCCCCTTCCAGAAGGTGGTGATAGGGAAGGGCAGTGACTGCTCAGTTACCTTTTAAATCCATCCTTCTGGTTGTGGAGAAGACAAGATTATTAGAGGGGTTTGCTTAATTGGCAAGAAGACCAAGAAAGGGCCCATTGCCAGCGAGACAAAAGCTGCCTGAGGCCAGAACACAGGTAGTAGCTATGAGGATGAAGGAGACGGGGATGAAGAAGCACCAGGAGGAAGAATCTGCAAGACGTGGGGAGCAGATGGCTTGTACAGGGGCAGGGAAGGGAGAGAGCGGGATGATGCCCAGCCTAGGCTTGACTGCTGAGTGGGTGTGGCGGCCTCCCGGAAGGCGGCGCAGGTGGGAAGCAGGAAGGTAGACGGTGAAGCTGAATCCCACAGTACTGAGTGCAGCAGAGGTCAGGCACTCCGGCCGACCTCACAGAGGGGATTTCACAATGTCAGTGTCAGTGGTCAAGAAATAATGACATTGGAATTGAAAAGCGATTAAGCCAGTACCTGTTACTGTGGGTGCAAAAGGCCATGATGCATGTGGGATTTGCTTGCTGAAGCTGGAAACTGCCTGGACCCTCTTGGCGCTCTCTGACCTCTAACTCTGTATCGTCTCTCTAGGAAACCATATCACCCAAAACTGGAAGCTTTCGTTAGTCACATGTCAAAAGGATCCGGAGCCTCTTTCGAAAGCCCCTTGAACTCCTTGCCTCTTTACCCAAATCACCCACTGTGTGAGATGGGAGAGCTCACACAGACAGGTAGGTGTGACAGCCATGTGCTCAGGGGCTCCCCAGCCCTCTCTCCTGCTTGCATACCTTCAGAGTGGGGTGCTGTGCGGCTCAGAGGGGTAAATGAGAACTGGCTGTACGAGGGCCTCTAAATAAACATCTGAGTTCTCAAAACTAAATAGAACCTTTCTCCTTATTACAAAAACCATACGTGTTTATGAAGAGAAATTAGGAAAGACAAGTAAAAGGAAGAAAACGTTTAAGCAACCGTAATTCCACCACAGAAATAGACCCTTACAAGTAACCTTTCTTCCTGTGCTTATGCAGACACACACCTTACTAAACACACAATTTCATAACCCACTTTTTCACTCAGCGATACATTTGGATAATCTTTCCCTATCAAAAACTGTTTATCCACGCCATCATTTGTCATAGCTCCATATTCTTTCACTCTGGATGGGCAATTGATCATTTATTTCATTCCATGTTCTCGGATGTTTCTAACAAAACTTCTCATAGGTTCTCATGTACAAGATCTCAGGAGGGAAGATGCATGGCACATTTCCGCTGCGTGTGGAGTTTGCTGGGCTGAGTCCTCACAGCAGCGCAGCTTTCCCTCTGCAGCCCTAGTCAGACCACGTGCAGGCAGTTCACCACCAGGGTAGGTCGGTGAGTTAAGTGTGGAGTCACCTTTGCTGGAACAGAGGAACAGGTGGTCCTTCAAGAGGTTTCTGTTTTCTGATTCTTCAGTCTGGAACCTCAGAGGACCTTTTCTTGGTCACCAGACTTTATGGGTGAATTGGGAAGACCCATTGGCTGTGTTCTGTTTTCATGTTGCATCAACATTCTAGGACCTCAGCAGGGATGGAGGGAAAGTCTCTGTCCTATAGTTGGTCCTCTTAGGTTTTGCCGTTCTTATTGGGGGAATGACACCGGCTGACAGAGTGGAGCAGGCTGAAGCCTCCAGAGGACTAGCCTTGGACGAGGAGTTATGTCAAAAGCTTTGGCAATTAGTTCCACATGCATTCGTGTAGAGCAAGGGTTTTTATCCTACCAGATGCAACACCACCTTTGGTTACACAGTTAACTATTTTGCAATCTCCCTCAACTATCATGAAGTGAAATTTATATATACTGTAACCAGTCGGGCATGGTGCCTCACACCTGTAATCTCAGCGCGTTGGGAGGCTGAGGCAGGAGGATCGCTTGAGCCCAAGGGTTTGAGAGCAGCCTGAGCAATATAGTGGAACCCTGTCTCTACAAAAAAAAATTTTAATTAGTCAAATGTGGTGGCATGTGCCTGTAGTCCCAGCTACTCAGGTGGCTGAGGGAGGACCACATGAGCTCAGGAGGTCAAGGCCTCCAGTGAACCATGATCACGCCACTGCACTCCAGCCTGAGTGACAGAGTGAGACCCTGTCTCAAATAAATAAATAAATAAATGTAATCTTTCTGTATAGTTAATTATTTAAAAGTTACATCAGAGTCCCCAGCTATAACAAACAAAAAGAAACTAATTTATTACATAATTATACGTGTCTCCGTATAAATGCTTAAAAACAGCTACACTAGAAACCATAATGACATCTTCAAATGCTTGCACCTAAATGTGACTCTGACAGCTATAAATGTAGATGATTGATGGATGCTCTATTGGTGACTCTAATACTGCATGTCAGGACATGGTTTTTCTGAAATTCTGATCAAAGAAAAGTATAGATGTTCCTTAGTTTGTATTGTATTTCTGGAAAATTCAGTGGATGTTAATATTATACAAAATGGTTTTGTGTTTCTAGACACAAAAACCAGAGTTAGATTCTATAGGCTAATGTATTCAAATATGTTTTTCACATGTTGGAATGTCTTGTGCTGCATTCAAAAGTTTTGTGGGACAGAGACACGTGTCCCTTCTAGAGACTATCTAGCCCCCCGGCCCCCACCCACTAGGTGCCAGGAATGCCCTTCCCCATATTATTGTGGTAACTCCACCCCCAAGCCCTCTCTGAAGGCAGTAGCACTCTTGGGGAGAACTGCTGGTTAGGCTCTTTGGTTAAAAATAACAGAAACCACCTCAACCGAAAAAGGGAAATTTATTATAAGGATTTAGGAATGACTCACAGACTCTGAGATCAAGAATGTGACCAGACCTCTAGAGACTGGAACCAGGAATAAAAAAGCTTTCTAGCCCCTGCCTCTCTCTGTCATTTTTTACTGTGTCTATCAACAGAATTACAATCCCAGCCACACACACAGATGAATTTGCAAGTCCAAATTCTTGAGAGAGATTGAATCCTTGAGGTCCTAGGGGTTAGCGTCCATCAGGCCCGGGTAACAGGTCAGGGTGACTGCAGAGAACAGGGCAGTGAGGGTACCAGTCTCTGGATCCAGGAGCTGCTCCCTGAGAAGAGGCTGGGGGGTTGGCCCTCAAACACCTCATCATTCATTCAGATCTTTCTTCTCAACACATCTATCATCATCATCGTTTCTAAGTTAGTATTAATCTAGAAATCATTTTTGTAATACTGTCTGCTCCTGTTTCCTCATTCTCTTTTCATGGTCACTTTTATCTTCCATTTTAAATATCATGAAAAATGTATGGCTGTTATAACCATCTTTTGTCCCTGGTGCACTTATGGCACCCCACAGTAACTATGTAAGATTAGATTGCTCACAAGTGCCCACCCTGTTGAAGATGCTTTGGCAGCTGCTGAGCGTGAATAGGACCCTCCTGCCTGTCCGACAGGAGCCTGCAGCTGCAGCAGACAGTGCACATGGAGACAGCTGCTGTAGCCAGATGCTGCAGGGCCTTAGAGAGTGAACACGGGCTTTGCAGTTGCACAGACCTGTAGCATGGAGAGGATCCTGCCTTCCCGGTGGCTGGTGGTGAATTCAATGAGGTAGCATGTGTAGCGTGCCTAGTGCAGTGCTGGCATGTGAGAGGCTCCCATGCATGCAGCTGATGTCGTCATGGTCCAGCAGCGTATGGGGGAGGAAGGAATTACTAACTTGACCAGGGAGAGGAAGAAGGAAAGCATCACAAAGAAGGTAATGTTGGAGCCAGGCCCTGGGAGGATTTCTCTAGGGAGAGAAAAGGGCACAGTATGAACTGTTCCATCTTCCATGAAGATACAGTCTGTGATTGGCAAGTATAAGAAGCCCTAAATAGCTAGAACTTAGTATTTCTGCATGAAAATGTACGGGACTAAGAACATAAAATTAGGGCCAGATGGGGCCTTGAGTTGTAGCTCTGCCACTTTTTAACTGTGAATGGTTCCGGGTCTTCATTTCTTCATCTATACAACAAGGAAAATGGGGATGATGATAATAATAATAATATACCTTCTTCACTGGATTTTTATGAGGATTAAATGAGAACGGCCTGGTACACAACGCTAATTTACGTAGCCTAACAAAATAAGATAGGCCCAGCAGTGAACTAGGGCAAGACACAGAATCTTAATGTTTATCTCTCATGGTTTGCGTGTTTCTTGCAAAACATCTTGGAAATGCTAGAGCCTGTTTCAGCCTTTAGTTCCTGGTTCCTGCGGGAGTTCTGCCCTCAGTGCTTTTCATTCACGGTAGGACCCAGACATCCTTTGTGGGTTTTGCTGACCTGTTCCCTTTCCTGGGGGAACATATTTCCCCCGTCTCATGATTTTCAGCCCAAGTTGTCTCATCTTTGCAGTGGGACTTTTTACACTGTTTGGACATCCAAATAAATGGCATCACTGGTCACAGGGCCTGGGTGTAGAACTCACGCCCGTGACAGATTGTATCCTGTTACTCCTACAGGATGAGAGAGCTTGTTTTTATCTTGGGTTGCCTTCTCCTACTTAAAGATAAGGCTTTTTCCAATTTTAAAAGTTAATTTATTATTATACTGTGATA